CCCAGCAGCTGAGATTACAGGCCTGTGCCACCACACCCGCAAAGCACAGGTTTTAATATGGTCCCACTGAAGAATGGATGAACTGAAGGGAGCCCCTGATGGTCTCCCAATGTTAAAGGACTGTATACAAGTTTGTTGTGTTATCCCAACTTGGAGGAATTCAGTCAGAATGCAGGTATTATGGGCTGGGATTGTGGCTCAGTGGTTGAGCGCTCACCTAGCACATGCAAAACCCTGGGTTTGATCCTCAGCACCACATAAAAAAATAAATAAAATAAAGGTATTGTGTTCAACTACAACTAAAAGATAAATATTAAAAAAACAAAAAAAAAAGAAGGCAGGTATTACAATGACAGATATATTCTGAAATTACCTGGGCAATGTCAGGCAAATTAATTAAGATAAAGATTAAGAAAAGGGGACTGGAGTTGTGGCTCAGTGGTAGAATGATCACCTAGCATGCACTAGGAACTGGGTTCAATCCTCAGCACCACATAAATGTAAAATAAAGATATTATGTCCACTAAAACTTAAAAATAAATATTAAAAAAAAAAGATTAAGGAAAGGGCCAAGGTCTCTTGGTTCAATCTTTTGCCAAGGACCCAAAGCCTTTTGTGCAAGAGAGAGTAAAATGATCTAGAGGTGGAGAAGAAGAGTTTCTGGGATTAAAACATAAAAATGTAAGGGTTGATAAGATTACAAAAGTTGGAATTCTTAAATAGACTTTATATCAAGAAAGTGTGTCTCCTTTACGTAAATGTTTTATGGGAATGGATATTATGCCTGGCTGGGGAAAACTTTGCTTACTAAGTATATAAAATAGAAGCCCCCTTTAAGCAATATTAATTACACATGCTAAGTGGAAACTAAGATGGCCCAAATCCACACACAGTTCAAAAAAGAAGTTGAAGTGCTAGTATGGACAAATTCTTTGATAGCCCTATGTGGAATGAAGCCTGGGGCTCAGAATAAAACCCAATAAACGGTCCTCTCCATGATAACACCTGGGACTTTGAACTAGAGAATTTCCACTTGAAAGGCATTCAGTAGTTTACAATGAAATATTGAGACTGTCTCAATGAATTAAGGACATAAAATAATCCTGAAACCTGAAATACCCACAAACATTCTGATGGCACAGCATTCCCCAGAAAAGTGCCACAATAAAATGGAAATGATTCATACAGAATCATGTCACCTGAAGAATACAAGGAGACACTCAAAGGCAGAAGAAAGCCCCTTCTGCCCAGGACTGACTCTGAAACTGAGTGAGAAGCAGCTGGATTCTATGACACTTAGACGGTATCCTAAAACAGTTCTTGATTGACTGACAAAGAGGTGCCCAGTGTATAGGTGTTAGTTTCAAGGTGAATGAAGAACATTCTTTCTTTTTTTAAAAATTTGTTCTTTTTAAATGTACATGACAATATATTTTGACATATTATACATACATGGAGTATACTTTATTCTAATTAAGATCTCATTCTTGTGGATATATGTGATATGGAGTTTCACTAGTGGTGTATTCATATATGAACAGAGGAAAGTTATGTCCAATTCATTCTACTGTGAAGAGAATTCTTTTTGGGGAAGGATGCCACTCGAAGAAGGTAAAAACAAATCAGTTTTGTGGGCTAAACTGCATGCTGAAGGACTAAACAGTGGTAAAAGCCCCTGTGTGTTTTTTTTTTTAACTGGCTTTTTTACAATGGCCAAAGACCTGGATTATATGCTCACACAGGAGGGTAATGGAAACCTGGCCTATTAAAGGGATGTTGTATGGCTTTGGCCGGGTAGAAACTTGAGGGACTCATTAAAGTAGGGCATTCTGATGTCCATCAGAAAAATTCCTTTCCAGGTTCAGAAAGCAACTGGAAATGACAAGCAGATATTTCCAAGTGTCACCTAGGATGACCATCTGGGCCCATGAAATAAATGGACATGGGGTACTAAACAATTCAGAGATGGACTGAATCTACACATGTTCCTTGGGCACACTTTGTAGAACAAAATTCCGAAAAAGAAACTATACTGCCTGCCAGCAAAAAAGAGATTGCCAATGGCTGTGTGGCAGATTCTCTGGTGGGAAGCCCCTGAACACAGCTGGCAAGTGAGAATGGTACGGATAGCCCTGGAGGCAGGGAGAAGGCTAAAAATGGGTCTTACTGGAATAAACACTAACTCTGGACTGTGCTTCATATCTGATGGAACATGCAATGCCTCAGAAGAACCAGAATGGGAGAAGAATTTGGATGGCAGAACTTCATTTTCTCAGACTAAGAAACACACTGTGCAGACTGTGATGTCCAACTATGAACAAAAAAAAAAAATTTCCTTCACAGAGAAATAGTTTAATAAAAAAAAATATATAACAGACAACTGAAAGAAAGGTTGGTTGTCTAAAATAGGAGGAGATACAGGCCTTAAGGGTTGGCTTATGTGCCTTTATGAGTGTGTATACACCCTCAACATGAGTGGTGTACTAAAGAAGTGTCTCCACTACTAGATATTTCTCCATTTTATTAGATCTGGGAAGAGGGGCTGGTGAAGGGTTGGTATGACCATACAATTCTTGGTATAATGACTTTTTTTTCCTTCCCCATATACTCTGTTCCCCCACTTCCATCTAATACAGTGGTTGCAGGACCAGGGCTATAACCCCAAATGCTAGAAACAGGAATGCAAGAAACTGTTTATTATACCATTAAATCTCTATGTCAGAATTCCTAAAGGCCTAATGAGGTAGAACTGTGTCTTTACTATGTTAAGAAAAGTCAGCACTAAAAGTAAATGCCATCATTTTGTCTAGTGATCAGCATAGCCCACTGATTCTGCACCTATGTAACTCTGTCCTATCTGGAAGAGGACCAAGGGGAGGCACTTGCTATACCAGTATTGCTGTCAGTAGTCTGGACCAGCCTGGTGGCTGAACCAAATGTCCATTACAAAGGTGAGAAAAGTTTGGGTATTAATGAAGAGAAGGAGGAAAAGTAGCTGAGGGTTAAAGAACTAATAAATGGCCAGTGACACACACCTATAATCCCAGTAGTTTGGAAGGCTGAGGCAGGAGGATCACAAGTTCAAGGCCAGCCTGAGCAACTTAGTGAGACTATCAGGGATAGGGATGTAGCTCGGTGGTATACTGCCTCTGGTTTTAATCCCCAGTAGGAGGAAAACAAAACAAAAAAAGATTAGCTTTATCTTTCAGTAACTTTTACTAGTTCTTCAATAGGATTTTCCATACTGTAACCAAGTCTTGATTAATTAAGGATTAGGCAACAAATATGCAATTAAAATACTGGCAACAAGAATGACTGTGAGACCTGCTGTAACTTATTGTTACTGGGTACGTGAAATAAGAAATTTAATTTCTATACAATCATCAGTTATTATCATTAAGAAAGTTTTTGGTTTTTATTTTTTTTTGGCAGTGGACTGTGGATTGAACCCAGGGAAGTTCTACCACTGAACTATATGCCCAAACATTTTTGCTTTTATTTTGACTCAGTTTCACTAGGTTGTCCAGGCTGGCCCAGAACTTGTGATCCTCCTGTCTCAGCCTCCTAAATCACAGGGATTACAGATGTGTGCCTGGTTCACTGAAGAAGATTTGTAAATTTTGATGCTTACTGTATTTTTTAAACTAGGAAATCAAGAAATCTTATTACAAATTAAAAATTCTAAGTTTAATAATTATCTGTACTTACTGAAATACTCTACTATTAAATAAAGTATTTAACTAAATCCAGCTTCAGGTCATGTCAGATCTGCGCTATATTGCTGGTGTCTACTGCTGCAGCACTCTTTGCTTGGTGGGTGAGCGTAAGACTCCCACATACCTGGTGTCATAGTGTATGTTGAGTGGAAGTATAGGAGAAACTGAGTTTGAATTTGGTTTGTTTTCCTCTATGTCATATCCATCACTTAACTTTAGACTGTATACATGAAATTCAATTTTAAGGCAGAAATATGTGGTAGCCCACAAGCTCTTTGGGGAATAATAATCTCTCTATAGCAAAAATGCTGCTAATATAAAACCTTGAATTTTTGATTTCCTGGTTATTCACTAGTCAAAAGGATTCTGGGATTGTAATCCTTACTTTACCTTGAAAAAAAGAGGTGCCACCTGGGGGTGGTGGTGCATACTTGTAATCCCAGCAGTTTGGGAGATTGAAGCAGGAGGATCTTGAGTTTAAAGCCATCCTCAACAACTTAGCAAAACCCTGTTTTTAAATAAATAAAATGTAAAAAAGGGCTGGGGATGTGGCCCAGTGGTTAGGCACTTTTGGGTTCAATCCCAGGTACCCCCCAAAAAAAGAAAAGAAAAGAAAAAGGTGCCCTCACTTATTTATAAAAGCCATATAATATAGGTGAGCTAATACTTCGGTCACTTAAATAAAAAAGAAGACAAGCTAAGAAAATTTATTATATTTCACTCATTATAATACAATCATGATTGCTTTTTACTTCAACTTTTTAGAAATCAGGATGATGAATTTAAAAGGGTGGGAACAGACAAAAAGATAGGCCATGTAATTGCTGAATCTTGGTGTTGGTTCATAATGCTATTCTCAACAACTTCTGTAATCATGCTTGATAAAAAGTTTGAAAGTATTTCATTCACCATTTCAAATTTTCAGATTCTAATCATTATTGAAAATTTTTAATGTAATAGTAAAATTTGTAGGTGACTCACCGGACATTTTCTGGTCTGAGCTTATCAAGAACCATCTCTATTAAGTCAGGTCTAAATTCTTCCAGTAAATATTCAGCTGTGAGTACTTCTTCTAGGGGATAATACTTTGAAAAAGGAAAATGTAAATAAATAAAAATTTGTAAAGCTACCATAGAGCTTCATTTATTAAAGCAAACAGATCTCTAGTATATTAAATCCATTATTTCACCCCCCACATCCCTTTCTTAAGTTAAATTTTACTGTACTGGAAAAAAACCTGTATTCTTGAATCCTTTTCCTTCACTTTTTTTTTTTTTTCACTCGTTTGCAGTGCTGGGGATCAAACCCAGGGCCCTGAGCATGTTAGGCAAATGCTCTACCACTGAGCTACATACAAATTCTACCTAACACATCTTTAAGTAGGCTCATACTGTGTGATGATTCTGCCAAATACACTTTTTTTTATTTTTTGGTACTGGGGATTGAACCCAGAGGTGCTTAACCACTGAGCTACATACCCAGCCCTTTTTAATATTTTATTTAGATACAGGGTCTTGCTAAGTTGCTTAGGGCCTTGTGAAGTTGCTGAGGATGGCTTTAAACTCAAGATCCTCCTGTTTCACTCTCGCAAGTTATGGGGATTACAGGTATATACCATCAAGCCCAGCTCCAATACACTTTTGATCTCCAAATATACTCTCAGTGTAGACAGCAAAATCACATTTCTTTTAAGGAAAAATGTGAGTACAGTACTTGGTAATGAAGAAAATTTGATAGTGAAATGCTGATACAGTTTAAATATATTGATACAATATTTTTAAACATATTTTTTTTAGTTGTTAATGGACCTTTATTTATTTGTTTATATGTGGTGCTGAGGATCAAACCCAGGGCTTCACACATGCCCCGTGTGGCCACATTCTATACCACTCTCCGTCCCACCTGTCCTATTCCCATTCACTCTAGTTATATTGGCCAGACCATCTTACAGGCCAAAGAAAAATTTGAATTTTATGTCAATTCTGATGGAAAATTATTAGAAGACTTTAAATAGAGGAGGGAAACAATCTGATTTTAGTTTTGGAAAGATCACCAAGGTTATAGGAAAAAACCCACAGTGGGGAACAAGACAGTGAACAAGGTTCCAGGTAAGAGCCCATGGCAGTCCAGGTAAGAAAAAACTATGGTAGCTTAGACTAGAGTGGTAACAAAGGAAATGGAAGAAAGTAGATGATCTAAAGTTTTCACAGAGGTAACACTTGACATATATAGAAGTGAAATATATTAGGGAAATACAAGGAATTGATATTGACTAAATTATATTGTCATATCATGTGTATGTATGAATATATTACAGTGAATCCTACTATTACGTATAATCACAACACACCAATAAAAATATGGAAAAAATTAAGCCAATAAACAAAATATCTATGTAATGAAAATATTACAGATGGTAACTTTTAGGATAATAAAAATTAAGAATTGAAACATATCTGGTCATTAGTTTGCCTCACTGCTATTATGTCTAAAGTTCTATGCACTATTTGAGATATTGTATACACTAATATAAAAAGGGAAATACAAAAAACTTACATGCAGTATTCCTGCAATTTTAGATGTATAGCCTCGTGGCCTCTCTTTATCTTTAAACCTAAAAGCAACAGCATTCAAGTCCTAAAATAGAAAGTGAATAAAAGTCAGCTATTATTTAGATACTTTTTGTGTTTCAGTTGAACCATAAACTTTCTACTCAGCATTTAACTTTATCACACTTTCTGAAAAAACAGCTATGCTTAATTTAGAAATGCATAGAATATGGAAAGAAAACTTCTTCATGTGTATCAAACTCAACCCATCAATTTAGACTTAAAATCAAAGTAAAATAGGTGAACAATAGGTAAAATAGATATAATTCTATAGCTTCAATTTTTAGAATTATTACTCAAAGAATTAGAGAAACTGCAAAAGAACCTTGCGCAATACAACTATTTCATAGATGATGATTTTGGTGACCTGGTCAAAGAACCGCAGCCAGATTAAAACTTTTTAAACTTTTACCTAGAGAGGATGTTTCTCAACCTAAAATATGTTTTCAAACCTTGATAGGCCTAAATACAAAGTACATATGTATTAAAAAAAAAAAAAACTTTCAAAAGAAAACATTTTTTGTTTAATGTAAAATAAATTAAAAAAAAAGAATAGCTAGGTTTTTCCATACATACAATAATAAAATCACTTTTAAGAACACAATCATACATAAAACAATTCACTATTTCTTTTGAGTATGCTACAGATTTTTATTACCAGATCCGGAAATGACAGACTTCATGCAGCTTCAGGCAGGGAGTAACATAAGTCCTGAAAAATACCAGCTTAACGAACTGTTGGTTTTCTTCTAAGGGATAGAAAAGCAATCCATTTTCTTTCCTTTTCCTTCCTAAAGAAGGCTACATAATGCCTTACCCTTAATTGTGCCCATGTGGCAAATCAGACTAGTGCAACTAAGTCTTAACTAATATTACAATGCATTGCAAAATTTTAGACTTTAATGAGGAAAAAAATCTTTAAATGGGCCTTAAATTTAAATTAATTCACATATATTTGTTTTTGAAAAATAGATTCCTTAAGAAAAATTTTGGTGAAACAAAAGTACCTTGCACTCTTGGAAAACCCATTCTTGAGGTCCTTCTGCACGTAACTTCTGAATGTATTGAAACATGTGCAAAATTATATCTTCAACATGTACTGGAAAAAAGGGGCACACTTAAAAACCATTCAGTCCTTGAATCCTTCAAAGCAGTGAGCTCACTTCTAAGGGAAAGTCAGGTAAGTGAAAGATGGTTCCTCTAAGAAAACAGAGTCCTCACCTCCCTGACTGTTTTTAGGTGACCCACACATGGCCCTATGGGCTCAGGGATATGCGACACAAGGGTTTGGGGTAGGAAATGAGCAAATGAAAAGCCAAGTACACATTTTACAAGTGCAACATAATGATCAATTGTTAAGGGGGAAAACTCATTCACAAAACAAATGCCAAATAACACATGAAAAATACATGAGTAAGTTGTATGAATTAAAGTGTTTATAGCTTTTCCACATAAAACAGATCCACAGTATAAAGAAATAAAGAAAAATCATAAAAATTCAATTTTCATTCAAAACCAAGGTCAACCAACACTTACATAATCCTTCCTCAGTTAAGTCCACATTAATGATAAAAAACATAAAACCTCGAGCTCCTTCCTTCTGTCCACCAACCAGGGTATTTACCCAGCCTGCAACATTCAAAGAAAATTAATATGAATTCATGTGTGGTTTCTTTCAAGGCAAAAGATTTTTTAAAATTTCAATTTATAGTCTATGTTCCAAGAGATTAGGGAACCTATTGCAGGGGGCAAAAATCAGTTTAGAAAAGGGATTAAGGGATTTATGGGATAGAAGCCTTCCTAAAGATTCTTCAAATTAATTTCCAATTAAGAAATTATGACTAGTGTGCTTTAAATGTTATGTGAAAGAAAATCGTGTGAGATGGGAGGGTCCCTGGAGATCATCTATTATCTAGATTTTACACCCTTCTGATTTGATGGATTACAGTAGGCAAATAAATATTATGTACTGACATTTCACCAAGATGGTAAAGAATAACCTATATAGGCTGTTATTTTTAACCTTTTTCTTATTCAAAACATGGCTGGGGGTATACTTCAGAGAGAGAACACTTGACTAGCAAGCACACATGAGATTATGGGTTTGATCCCCAGCACCACAAAACAAAAACAAAAATAAAAAACATGCTAGATGTTATCTTTTGAAATTTCTAATCTTCATGGCTCAATACTAAAGGGTAAAATAAAATTATGAAAAAAAAAGTCCCCAAACTAAAAAACAAAGCACATTAACAATCACTTTGCTCAGTAATCCCAGTCTCAATTTAAAAATGTTCCTTTACAGGAAAATATTTACGAGAAAATGAAAGCCAGAGTGAAAGGTGTCATACTACACTCAGAAAGTGCCACCCAATATACTTACCCTTTGATTTAAGTTCTGATAATAGACTTCCAGGACCTTCATGCCCAATCAGATGACCAAGATAATGACCAGGATTTGATTTATAGTATTTCTGAAGGTCAGGTATGGGAAATGTTACATAAAGATTCCTAATATCCTTAATGGGCACTATTTTATAAAGTTGCTGGGGAAAAAACAAAAAACAAATGAATCACAAAAGATGCACTATATTCAATTCCTACTGAATAAAATATTTACAAGTTATGAAGAATACTGATTTTCATGGAAGAATCCCAAATTTAGGAGCAAAATTGATTGCCAGACCACAAAGAATTGGTCACTAAGAAATAAATGAAGCAGGTTCTCAGCAGAATTTCATTATAGTGGGTAAGCTGTCCCAGGACCCCAGGACCTTAAAGCTAGATAGTTTGGAATGCTTGCCTCCTGATAGTATATAATATGTTCATAGCCTTGCTAAGGCTATAGATATCAAAACTGCTTTTAGCATGCAGAGATCAGAACATATTGGTATTTTTATGGTGATACACACTCCTAATAAATATAAAATTGATTTGATTATTCTGTCAAATATATATTTTTCTGGGGAGGTGGGAGCAGGTGCCAGGTACTGAATCCAGGGGTGCTTATCCATTGAGCCACATCCCCAGCCCTTAAAAAATAATTTTTTTTTGAGACAGGGTCTCATTAAGCTGCTTAGAGCCTTGCTAAATTGATGAGGCAGGCTTTGAACTTACTATCGTCCTGCCTTGGCCTCCTAAGCTGATGGGAATATAGGCATGTGTCACCACCACACTCAGCTAACCTGACAAATATTAAAAACTAAATTAAGGGGCTGAGGCTGTGGCTCAGTGGTAGAGTGCTCGCCTAGCACATGTGAGGCACTGGGTTTGATCCTCAGCACCAAGAAAAATAAAAACTAATAAAAATAAAGGTATTGTGTCCAACTACAACTAAAAAAATATGAAGAAAAAAAAACCCTACGTTAAGGGGCTAGGGTTGTGGCTCAGCAGTAGAGCATTTGTCTAGCATGTGTGAGGCCCTGGGTTCGATCCTCAGCACCACATAAAAATAAATATATAAAATAAAGATATTGTGTACAACTACAACTAGAAAATAAATATTTTTTTAAAAACTACATTAAGTAATGAAACCTCTATTTTCTTGTAAACTAGATATATATGTTCACAACTTAAAAAAAAATACCAATAATACATGGACTTACTTTAAGATGTTCTTCTTGGAAAGGGTGCTCAGGAAATTCTGGCAATGGGACATTTTTATTCTCTACTTCAGAAAATAACTTTACCACAAGATTAGTTAAGTCATCTAAAGATTCTATAAAAAAAGACATTGAAACAGTTTAAT